CTGTCTGCCTTACACAGACACCTCTCAGCATTAGCTAGCATAGCACCTGCTGGCTATGGTCCGTGCTGTGGGAGAGGGGAGGGAGGAATCCCTGCTTGAAGTGGGGAAGCGGGGAGGAAGCCTGGCAGGAGGAAGCCAGGCAGATGGTGCTGCCATCTCTGCCGGAGCTCCAGTCAGCAAGCAGCATCTGGGACACTGGAGGACTCTGGTTTAAGTTAAACCAGGAAGGGATCTGGGATACACATTGCATAAACCAGTTTGACCCCAATCAGTTAAGTCTGATACTACATTCAACCAGGTTTATTTCAAACCTGTTTCAGCCACTGGTTTATGTGCACTGACTGTCTGTTCCATTACAGGTTTAAACCAGTTTCTGATTACTTAAACCAGTTTATGTGCAATGTCTGTTCCTATCCACGCTGACTGTCTGCATGACTGATCAAACACATGGAAGATGAGATGGATGCACCCTCAGCAAGTTTGCAGATGACGCCAAGCTGTGGGGAGTAGAAGATGCACTGGAGGGTAGGGCTAGGATTCAGAGAGAGCTCAATAAATTGGAGGACTGAACCAAAAGAAATCTCATGAGGTTCAACAAGGACGAGTGCAAAGCCTTGCACTTAGGAGGGAGCAATCCCCTGCACCGGTGCAGGCTGGGGGTGACGGGCTGGGCAGCAGCTCTGCAGACAAGGACCTGGGGGGACAGGGGACAACGAGATGGAGATAAGCCAGCAGCGTGTCCTTGTTGCCCAGGCTATCAGCATCCTGGGTGCATTGGTAGGAGCGTTGCGGCAGATCGAGGGCAGCGATTCGTCCCCTCTATTCAGCACTGGGGAGGCCACATCTGGAGTCCTGTGTCCAGCTGTGGGCCCCCCACTACAGAAAGGATGTGGACACATTGGAGAGAGTCCAGTGGAGGCCAACGAAAGTGGTTGTGGGACTGGGGGACAGGACTGGTGAGGAGCAGCTGAGGGAACTGGGCTGATTGAGTCTGAACCGTAGGTCAGGGCTATAAGGGGGCGTTCAAGTGTGTCAGGAGCACAAGGGATACACACAGCGGGGCTCTGGGTGCAGGCTCCAGGGGAGCCCCCCCCAGTGTGGAGCAGAGCCGGGGAGACACCGCCCTGGGTGTGCGGGGACCCTCCTCCTGGCACAGCCCCGGCGCAGCTGAGGGAACTGGGCTGATTGAGTCTGAACCGTAGGTCAGGGCTATAAGGGGGCGTTCAAGTGTGTCAGGAGCACAAGGGATACACACAGCGGGGCTCTGGGTGCAGGCTCCAGGGGAGCCCCCCCCAGTGTGGAGCAGAGCCGGGGAGACACCGCCCTGGGTGTGCGGGGACCCTCCTCCTGGCACAGCCCCGGCGTCGCTGGCTCCTCTTGCAGCTGCTGGCCCTTGCTTTGCTCAAGATCTCCGGCCTGGCAGGACGCAGCCGGCCTGGAGCCCAGACAGAGCGTGCGCTCCTGCGAAAGGCAGCACGCCCCAAACCCCGTGAGAGCAGGGCCCGGGCGGAGGAAGTCCCTGCCCTGGGTGCAGCTCCATCCCAGCAAACGGCCCCTTCCCGCCGCAGGGCTGAAGTCTCAGCAGCGCCCGTTCCTGCCCCGCGCCCCCAGCGCTGCCCCCAGCCCTGCCCCGTCCTCTGCCCCGAAGCCCAGTGCCCCGTTGCCCACGCCCGAGGCCGCGGTGCCCCGACCCCACTGCAGAGGGGCTTTGCAGGGGTGCTTGTGTGTGCGCCCGTCCCCGCTCTGATGTCCTGGGGGGTTCCCAGCCTGCAGCCCCAGGCCTCGTGCTGCCAGTCCTGGTCCTGGTCCTGGACCTGCCCGGGGCCGTGGGGCGGTTCTGTCCCCAGCTCGGCTCCCCC